AATGCTTTCTTTGCTGGCTTCCTTGGAAGTCAAGCCCTGGTCTGGGTGATGAGATGAAAAAAAGAGATCTCCAGGTGTTAAAAAAGGAAGAACTAGACCTTCCATTTGCAGAGCCTTTTTGCAAAGCAGTTAATTAAACCACTGTCCCTGCAAACCAGGTGAGACATGCTAAACCCAATCCACCAGCAAAGCACAAGAGAGGAAGAAACCTCCCCTAGGATTATTCAAGCTAGATCCAGACAAGAACTCAGGTGCCCCAAGACCTCTTCCCCAAACCTGTTTTAACTGCTTGAACACTTATATTAAGACTCACTCCATATGCGCAGACAGACAAGAACAAATGCAACTTTACGGCTTGGAAGTTAGGAGGTCTCTAATAAGCATTTAATGTCCAGTTCTGAAGCAGCTGAAAGTGCAGCACAGTACTTCTGAGCGTGCAATACATTATTTTATCTGAGCAGTCTCCAAAAGAGGGGAGAATGCAGTGTCTCTGCCTGTTCTTGGCGTGGGAATGTGGCTCTCCAGCTCCAGCAGATCAAATAAATCATGTGCATTTCACTTCATAAACAAACATCATCAGCCTGTTTAAATGCTGCTGGGGAAAAAACAAAGCAGCTTGAATCTCCAGCGCTTAGAGAAATGTCTTGTCCTTTAGAGTTTTTGCTGGTTTGTGTGCGTAGTGCCTCCCTGAGGAGCGGGGACCCACCCCCTGCAGCTGTTTGGGTTTGCAAGGATGGTTCTGAAGTGTCTGATGGATGCTGAGAGGTCCCGGCAAGAGTCTGCCAACTGGGCACGTGCTTGGGGACTACCTCTGCTGTCAGACTCCAGGGTCCCTGCGTGATGCTGTGGCCTCTGACCTGTCCCCCCAAAAACCTGGCCGTGTCTCTGTCAGCTGCAAGGGAGCCTGGCTGAAACTGGGAAGAAAAGTAACATGTGAGCTCCTCTTGCCCCTGAGGACAAGAGGTAGGTCCTGTCCCAAAGACTTACAGGCTGGATACCCCAGGCAGAAAGTTCTACAGCACGTGGACGTTTCAGCAGCCTGTAAGTCTCCTGGGGGAGACGGATAATACAGACCCTGGTCCTATGGCATCCAAAGCGTTCAAGGTCTTGGAACCTGCAGTGACTTTGGGTGGAGCGGGTTGCTGGAGTTGAGGACAAGCCTGGGAAAGTCCCACAAAGCGTGCGCGAGTGGAAGGTGTCTTTCCTTGGCTGCGTTGGGTTTTCAGCTCATATACGCAACCAGATTGCTGGAATCGCGCATTACCTTCTCAGGGAGGGACTTCTGTGGCCACGAGCCCCAGGCCGATGGCTGCAACCACCCTTGTCCCTACATCAGGGTAGCCCTGGCCACCCATCGCAGCCTTGCCCCTCGCTGTGCTGCGGGAGACAGAGCCCGGACATGGCCCGGGAGCTTCTCCTGTTCTTTCTCACTCAGACTTTGTATTTATTCTTTCTTTAATCTGTAATAAAAGGCAGCCAGGGAGGGAAATAGATGTGTTTTTCTAACTGTGCAGGAGGGCATGAAACAGTAGGGGAAGCACAGCAGGTTTTGGTTTTGTCCCATCAGATAATTCTGGGTTATGGACAAGATAAACTGGAATCACTTAGAAAAAATAATAAAAGCTGTGGTTTCCAAATCCCCTTACTGGGCCCAAGCACCCAGTTCTGAATGCAGTCTCAGGTCTCAGCTCCCCAAAGCAACTCAGTGCCTACCTCCTGCCGATGCCCACACACACCTAAATCCCTTCGCCCCAAATGTCTTGAGCACGTGTGGCGGCAACGAAGTGGGAGCGTGGGGACGGAGGGAGAAGCCTTTGCCTAATTGACTCTTACACGTGAATGAACATAGTATCTGCCTCTGTCGAATGCAGCTGGAATTGAGTGATGGGACTGAAAGCTGTTTGGGTGAGGACAGGCGGACCCCAAATTATCCTGTCGCATAAGCCTGCCTTCCTTAGGATCCCAGGCTAAAGGGTATTTGCATTACCCAAGGGTAGGGAGAGCAAGAGCCGCTCGGAGTTTCACAAGAGAGCTCTCCCAGACAGTGTAGGACCTTCAAGCGTCCCTGCGTCAAGCAGATGTACAAGCCAATGACCTGCAAAAATTGTCTTAACATCCTCCCATCACCCCCCATGATAATTTAAGTCCTTAGCTAGGAAGTGCAAAGCTGAAGTTGAGCACAGCATTAGGCAGCCTGGTAGAGCTTATTAAATTAATAGTGCATTAAAGAATTGGGGGGAGGTGGGGGGGGAGAAGGGAAAGAGAAGGTTTGTAACATCACAGAAATATCCTTGCTACCTTCTGGCATCTTCAAGAGACTGGAAATGTGGGACTGCATCCAGCTGTCTTCTCTGGGGCAAAATTCCTTTGGCTTCTGTGGGAGGTTTTACCCAAATAAGGACTGCAGGATCAGACCTGTTATTGTCACTGCAATTAACATTTAGATCCACATCTAACACGAACTGTTACAGGCTGGTTAGGGAGAAATTTAATTTGCTCTAAACAGCTTGATGGGAGAGGAGCGTGAAATGTCCTAGTTATGGTAATTTCATGTGTTAGAGTCTACAAAGGTGGATTTTCAGCCATGGGTCTAATAACCCTGCTATCTGCTGCAGCCATCAAGCTAAGCGTGCTTTGGGATCCTGAGGTTTGGGGCCAGATTCCCACCTGCGCTCGGTGGCGGTGTAAGCCATTTACACCGCCTGGCAGGCTCTCTGATCACCGTGGACATGCTCAAAGCCATAAAGGCCCGCGCTCATCTTAGGCCGTTACGGCACCGGTGACTCAAACGGCGTTTGTGTGGCACAAGCAGGCGAGAGCCTGGATCTGCCCCGGCGAGGCACAGAGGAGCGTTGCCCCCAGATGTGTTTTCCCTTATCAGACACGACGACGAGCTTTGGTTTGTGCGTCAGGAAACCGATTTCTACCTTTTTGCTATACGCAGGTACCCATGAGATCTGTGATTTTTTTGCCCCGCCAACCCACTCTTTGGACCTGCTTTGTCTAACGATGCCCAACTTTCTTTTATATCCTTATGTATTTCCTTTTTTCCCTTTTCTCCCAGGAGTTAATGTAACTCAGCCATAAAAACTGACTTGGAGATGAAACTTGGCATTTAAGGTCCCAGCCCGGGAGCAAATGAAGTTACCAGTTATAAACACACACCAAAATCTGTTTGGACATGCTGAAATTACAGGAGCAGAGGATAAAAAGGATCCAAGATGTTTTATTTTGTTTTAACTTCTGCGGCTCCGCGTGAGTGTCAGTTTGCAGCTGCTTGCCTGACGCAAGATGGGTCCTCTTGGTGTTTTCCTTCTTCTTGTTGTAATTAAAGCTGATAAATGGCAACGCATCTCTCCGGGGAGGAGGCAGGGGTCCTGAGCTGGTCCGCATCAGGATCCCGTGGGGTTGCCGGCTGCATACCCCTCGTTTAAGCGCTGGCGTGTGGGTCTGCCCAGAAGGAGAGGCAGGGTCTCTGCCCTGGCAGGGATGCGCAGAAGAGCAGGCAAGAGTTGTAGGAGAAATCAGGTATCAGGGCCTCTCCTGCGTGGCTGCAGACGCCACGGTGACAGGTATGAGATAGACCGATAAGCGCGCGCAGGTGATAGGGATGTGGCAACGAAAGATAAGAGGCTTCATTTTTTATAGGAGGAGGCGCTAGCTTGCTAATATTTATGACATGAGACGCTTTGCCAATTAAAGAATAAATCACGGCAGCTAAGAGGCTGGGAAGCGCTTCACGGCCGGATCTGCCACACGGCGAGATGATGGTTGGCGGCGGCAGCGCGCCCGTGGGTGCGCGTTGGAGAGCGGGACGGTGATGGGTGCCCCCCCGATTTCCCCCAACCCCGCTTGCTGCGGGAGAGCTGGGAGCTACCTGTGCCGGCAGACAGCCCCGGCACTCGTCCCCCGTGTCATTTCGGGTTTCCTTCCCCACCGCGCGTCAGCAGCTGCCGCCGCGCACCGAGCCTGTTTGTTATGCGCGTTACGGCCCTCAAGAGCGAGGGTCGATATGATGTTTAATATGCTTCGCGCATAGCGGAGTCGCTTTGGTCCATCAAGTCACTAATACGCATTCTTACGGGGCTGAGTATCGTTTATTAAACCTGGAGGCATGCCGGGGAGGGTGGGGGCCAGGGCCCCCGCTGCTCTGGGAAGCAGCCAGCGATGCCGGCGGGGTGGTACCCGCGGTGCCGAGGAGGTGAGAGTTTGCAGACGAACCGCACACGCACAGAGAGTTATTTGTTGGGCCTCGTTTATGGGAAATGAAATAAATCGCGCTTTGAAGGCCGGCCGCCGCGCGACACGCCCCCGGGGACAGGGAACGGGGCTGAGGGTCTCGCTGGCTGCCCCAAGCCTGGGGACAGCTGAGATTGCTCAGCATCACTCGAAGAGCCACCCCCCTTCCCGAGGCTCCCACCGCAGCGCTCTGCACCCCATTTTTTTAAAATTTCCTTTTTTTAATTTTCTTTTTTAATTTCTTTTTTAATTTTCCTTTTTAATTTTCTTTTTAATTTTCTTTTTAATTTTCCTTTTTAATTTTCTTTTTTAATTTTCTTTTTTCAGTTTTCTTTTTTCATTTTTTTCAGTTTTCTTTTTTTCAGTTTTCTTTTTTTTTCCGTTTTCTTTTTTTTTTCGTTTTCTTTTTTTTCAGTTTTCTTTTTTTTCAGTTTTCTTTTTTTTCAGTTTTCTTTTTCAGGGTTTTTTTTCCGGGTTTTTCTTTCAGTTTTCTTTTTTCATTTTTTTTCAGTTTTCCTTTTTGAAATTTTTTTCAGGTTTTTTTTAGTTTTCTTTTTCATTTTTCTTTTTTATCTTTCTGTTTTTCTTTTTCTTTTTTTTCCAATTTCCTTTTTTTTTCATTTTTCTTTTTTTTCAATTCTCCTTTTTTCCCCAATTTTATATTTTCCCCTCCTCCCCTCTCCCCATCACTTT